TCGTATTCCTATGGCTTCCTTCGTACTGAATCACTCCTAGTACTGACATTCATATCTGGGATGTGACTTCTAACGGGACTGAATATGCCAGCATTAGGGTTTAGCTGCAGGGTCTGGAAGGGGCTTGTCATTGTCTGGAGCTGGTTAAATCGATGGTTAATATATCCTCCTTGTGTAAAAGACAATAGATCATCCTTTAATATATCTAATTCGCTTTTAAATTTACTAATGTTTTACATTTGTACTTCTTGCCACTGTTGTAGTCTCTCTTCTTGTTTATTTTCTTTCTCCTCCAACAACTGCTGTAATTTATCTTCTTGTTTATTTTGCTGTTCGAGCTGTCACTGTTGCAGGTTTTCTTGCAACTGCTGTTGTCTCTCTTCTTGTTTATTTTCTTTTTTCTCCAACAACTGCTGTATTTTCTCTTCTTGTTTATTTTCTTTCTCCTCCAACAACTGCTGTAATCTCTCTTCTTGTTTAATTTCTTTCTCCTCCAACAACTGCTGTAATTTCTCTTCTTGTTTATTTTCTTTCTCCTCCAACCACTGCTGTAGTCTCTCTTGTTTACTTTGCTGTTCGACTTGCCATTGTTGTAGGTTTTCTTGTAATTGCTGTTGTCTTTCTTCTTGTTTCTTTTCTTTTTCTTCCAACAACTGTTGTAATCTCTCTTCTTGTTTATTTGCTTTCTCCTCCAACCACTGCTGTAGTCTCTCTTGTTTACTTTGATGTTCGACTTGCCATTGTTGTAGGTTTTCTTGTAAGTGCTGTTGTCTCTCTTCTTGTTTCTTTTCTTTTTCCTCTAACAACTGTTGTAATTTCTCTTCTCGTTCTTCTTGTTTCTTTTCTCGTTCTTCTTGTTTCTTTTCTTTTCCTTCTTGTTTCTTTTCTTATTCCTCTAACAACTGCTGTAATTTCTCTTCTTGTTTATTTTCTTTCTCCTCCAACCACTGCTGTAGTCTCTCTTGTTTACTTTGCTGTTCGACTTGCCACTGTTGTAGGTTTTCTTGTAAGTGCTGTTGTCTTTCTTCTTGTTTCTTTTCTCGTTCTTCTTGTTTCTTTTCTTGTTTTTGTAATGCTGCCATCAAGTCTGCTATGCTGTAGTTTGATTTGCCGCTTCTCGTTTCCATTTTTTTTTCTGTCCCACTCTCTGACACCAATTTGTTACGACTCCAGTCGTTAGTTGATATTCCGTAACTTCGTTCCGACGAAACTTTAGCGACACAAGTCCTTTCTTAATAAAACTGGTTTATTCTTTCCGAATACAACTTTACGATACACTTAATTTCAACAGTCGCGCTATAACAAACGCTATATCTCACGTGGCCAACAATATTTTGTCCGCATACATTCAATTACTCATTACACTCATGTCCCGTCACGTTATCACCATCTTATATATATACCAGGCTACCCCCAACCTAGTAAATGCTAGGGCATTCACGAAGGAACAGGATGTTTCTAGAAAACGTGGCGTGACACCAGTCACGTGATCTCGCGGACGCAACACTAGGAACTAGTTAGGAAATACAATAACACAAGTTTTATACCAATTATTAACAAATATTAGAAGTATAGTAACGTAAGTGAATTCAAAATTTTATTTGTATCTTATATAATTTTATAAAATTATATATGTATAGGACAAGCAGGATAACTACAAGCACTTATGATATTTAGTT